CTAAGCGGTAATTAGCGCTTTAATTGGTTCAAAAAAACTCCGTCACTCGACTTGGTTTAACCTTGAAGATAAAAGGGTTCCATAAAAAGTTCAGTGCTGTACAGTTCAAATTTCATTGTTTTGAAATGTGTATAAATAACAGTGCTCAAAACGATATTGCTTCACTCTTCAAAAAATTATCAAGGATTTTATACGAAAGCAAACCCAAAAAGGCGCGTCTGCCATATTGTTCAAAGAAAATCATCAACGTCGGAAATATTAATTAACACGTAAGATAATCTCGATTGCTTCTACCTCATATTTAATTTGATTTTTATTTACAATACAGAAGTGAGAGATAATGTATCTCTTTTGAGAAGCTTTGGCTTCAAGATGTTCATATAGATCCGATTCTTCATACTCTATCACATAGGACTAGACAATTTCTGCACTGAGTTTCACTATATTTTTTCCTATGAGTAATAATAATGATTAGTTAGTTCCATGTTCATTACAAGGCAGTCTGAGTCAGAGATGGGCCAGTTACCATTTTTTTGGGTCCAAGTCTGAGTCGAATGAAAAATTGACGCGAGTCTCCTCGAGTCATTTTCTAAAGGTGAACTTCCTCCTGATGCATTTTTTCAAGAACAGCTTGCTCTTCTCACGTGACGCAATGTTTTACTTAGAATGTTCTCAAATCTCTCTCTCTCGCCCTCTCTCTCTCTCTCTTCTGGTATATAACAAATACAATAAACACGTCGTAATAATCAAAGTTGCACATGACTGACTCGAGAGTGACTCAGCCTCACCCATCTCTGCCCTGAGTATGCCCATCTGAGTTAGAGGAAGTAATTTTTCCTTTGCGCTTATCGCACTTGTTTTCTATTTTACGTGAGTCTCATGAGTCAAACTAGATTTTTTACTGCTCTTTTTATATTCGAAAAGTCCTGGCTACAAAGTTAAGACTTATAATTTATGATAAAATTCCAGTGCAAGGACTTTTAACAAGAGTTCCATGATTTAGCACATCTGGTCAGATTCTTTTGTATCATCCATTAAGGGCCCCCATCAGAAATTATCTCCGACACCGCACATCCGATTTTGGCCAGACTTTTCGTAAATGTTAGGTTTAATGAGTTACGGGAATAAAAATTTCTTTTTGTCTCCAAGTCTAACGGTTTAGAATTTTCGAGAGATCAAGGTCCAAAAAGGACCCTGAAGTATTTCCCAAGATTTTTTAATATACTTCAAGCTGGAGAGTTCGGATTTATTTTATTTTAAACTAGATACCTTACTACATGGACTGACCAGCGCTGATTTTTTAATCAAGCTTCTATTAGTTTTCCAGGCAACCAACAACCTACAAAACTCAAAAAATCCTTCTGGGTTTTCTAAAAATCCTCAATTGGACAAAAAACTAAAGCCTAACTGAAAAATCGGCGCTTATCAACCCATGTAGTTAGGTGTCTAGTGTGAAATAAAACAAATCCAAACTCTCTAGCTTGAAGTATATTAAAAAATCTTGGAAAATACTTCAGGTGTAACTCCCATATAGAGAAAACTCTGTATTAAATAAATACGGTATAAAACGCAAAATTTTGGGACTTGTAGAAAAATGCTGGTAACTTCTTGACGCAAAGACATACAGAGTTTTGCGAGGCCTTATTTTGATCCGACAAGTTTTCTCGAAAGCCACGAAAAAATACTCCTATAACAAAAATCGATACAGATTCTGAAAGTAGACACGTCAGGTTATCTCTTCATGTGCTTATCTCAAAATTGATTCTTGACAGAAAATCATCATTTCTGAGGAGGATGGGCGGTCCCTTAACAGTGTATGTTTGTAATAATGTGTTAAGATAATTAAAATCGTTGAAAACCTTTTGGATGATATTTGAATTTTAAGAAGGAAGTAACATTTCTCCTACCCAAAAGAGAAATAAAATGGACATGATCGAAAATAAAATATATTATTCTAGTAAGCCTCACCGTATCAAGACACTACTACTTTTAATGAAAAAACGTCATTGTCAAATAATTCTTAGTCTTTGACAAATCTTAATATTCTTTATGATGTTTTTCCTCATTGAATTTGGTTTCATTTGCGCAGCTCATTTTGAAATTATAAGAAATATAGACGGTGGACATTTTGTAAATGAATATGTAGGCGAGTCGTCGCGGCTGACCAGTTATATGCAAATTCCACATGACCATAGTTGAAAGATGAAAATTTTCGCACATATTTTAAGTACCGACATCGATTTAGAATATTTTGTTAGCCAACATTCGTTTATATTTTTAAAATTCCTTTCTCAAAACGTAATTTTGATTAATGGGATTTCCGGAGATTTGTTTATACTCTAAACTCGGTATAAGGTGTAAAAGAACGGTCAGTTATCTTTCGTATAGGTAGAGTATCGTTGGACAGTTTGATTGTTCAAAAAAGGCTATTTTTATATGGGCGTTCCTTATAAACGACATCTTTCAGATAATTATCCAATCTTGTCGGTTAACTTCATCTACAGCTGAATTATAAAAAAAGAATTACTAAATTCTTATTAGTAATTTAGCAATAAGTCAGTTGCGAAAAATGTGTTGACTCCGCGTTTTTCGGCAAAAGGTACCTATCATAGCTCATGGTAACTTTTGCACAAAATAGCTGACAGTTTGGGCTTAAACGTTTTGTATAGAACGTCTATAATAATGCTATATTCTTAAAAGTGCATACAAAAATCTTATCCTAGCGAGAAACTTACTCGAATCTTAACAAGATCATGAGATCTGAAAATTCTAACATTTTATAGGATTCTGTTAAGATTTTTCTAACAATAATTAGTCCTAGGATTGATTGATTCATATTTTACTGAGCATTTCTGAATATCTTGTTCAAGTATTTATAAATCTCTTTTTATAGAGTCGATTTGAGTCCGTTGTCTTAAATTACAGTGTGATTTATATGTATGCATGAGAGCAAAACACAAGACGTTGAATGAAAGCAGAAGCCTCAGATCTTTTTCAAGTCTTAACTAAGATCTTAGCTCATCTTATCAAAATCTTAAAATGTAAGATCTTACACGATCTTAGTAGAATAATTTTAAGAGGATCCTAAGATTTTTGCTATATAATTTGTAAATGGTTGAATCTACGAAAAGTGGTTGAACAGTTGAGAACATTCTCTTATTTGGCATTTCCTGATCTTCGCAAGAAATCGTTCACATTTATTTAAGAATATAGATCAACCTCACCGAGATCACGAGTCTCGAAAACTTTAAGAGGATCATACTAAGATCTCCATAGTTTTGATTACTTGATTCAAAATTTACTTATAAATGACTACGAGCTTCTCTACATTGTGAAAATCTCACTCAGAGTTTGAAGGCGGGATCTAAAAGTCCAAAAAACGGAGAGCATGCTTTTTTTATTTCAAGTGTATTTTCTTTTTTTTTTGTTAATCATACCAATCTTTTTTACACAAGTGAGAAACATATCCACATGCAGTTCAAAACAAAAGTTAATTTTTTAACAACATTTTTTAACAAGTTTTGTATAACAAATAAGCATAGATATTTATTATACATGTTGTCTTTCGAAATTATACTTTTTCATCGATTGTACACAGTTACTAACTGTGAATCAATGTTCTTATTTTATTGAATAAGACAAAAACTTCTTCAGATGAGTAATCGTGAAGATATTTTCATTAAAAAACGAAGTACAGTACTGTTTAAATACGATTTTTTGAAATTTCTGAAAAGTTGTCAGCGGAATTTTTGCGGAAAAAAGTATAAAAATTGGACCATTTGGCAATACTGGTTTTAACATAATCTGTATAAAATTTTGTGAAATTTTTTGGATATCCTCAGATATTCAACAGAACAGAGTTTTAAACATTGTGCATTGACGCATTTGGTGTTATTCAGCAAAATCAATGAGTTTAAAAATTTATCGAAAAGCTTCTACATATTAATGCGAAGAAAGAAAGCACGTGATAATTTTATGGACACGTGTACGGTATTGAATTGTTATAAACTAACATTTTAAACAAATCCAATGACACTATTTTTTCGAAACGACGCTAGGTAACAACTACAACAATTTCATCTATACGTCAAATTTGTTTTAAAACAAGTGTGAATGGAATCTAAAATATAGTATAACATAATAGCATTGTCTAGTATGCTGTGCTTTTCACCGTCTGCTAACTATAAATAGGGAAAAAAGTTGTTTCGAGCACGAGAGAAGATTTTTTTGCAACAGAAAGTTGCCTGTTTCTCAAAATTCATTAAAGGGTAAACCAGTATACATTCATATGTTCCAGTATGTAGAAAGATAAATATGATAATAAACATTGTGCCTTTCTCTCATTTTAGGGTATTATTGCTTGAAACGCGTAGTCTGTTGTTATTTCTACTTAGAAAAGAAAAGAAAAGGAAAAATAACCTTGATTATATATTGACATAGACCCATGTGTGTTGTTTCTTTAAAATGCCGACTTTATTGTAGCCGACCTGGTAATATTTAAAAAATTTATCAGCTTTACTCACATTTTTACAACACTGAAAACCTTCAAAGGACTAAAGATATAAGATCAGTATAAAATCTCATCTACAAATCTTTTAATTAATTAATTACAAGATCATGATATTTTTTGAAATATTACCCAGTCCGCTATAACAAAGGTCGGCATCTTAACGAAAAAACACCGTTATTTTTTATTTTTTTATTTTTTTGAGTAGAAATAATAAAAGACTACGCGTTTCAAGCAATAATACCCTAAAATGAGAGAAAGGTGCAATGTTTATTATCATATTTATCTTTCTACATACTGAATTACTCTTATATACTGATTCACTCTTTAATGAATTTTGACAAATTTTGAAAAATAGACAGCTTTCTGTTGCAAAAGCATCTTCTCTCGAGCTCGAAACAACTTTTTTTCCTATCTGTGACTAGCAGACGGTGAAAAGCACAGCATAGTCTTATTTTAGATTTCATTCATACTCGTCAAATTCGGCATAACAATGGCTTCTCAATCAGAAGAATCTGTTTTATCTCAAATGTTAACCGATAAGTCGAAATGTAGTTCAATGAAAGTACATAAGCCATCGTACGATCGAACTAAACTCAAACATGGCATTGTTCATTTAAGTGTTGGAGCATTTCATCGAGCTCATTTGGCGTATTATATGGATTTATTAGCGTCTGAACAAAATGAGATAAACTGGGGTATTGTGGGTGTTGGTATTCGTATGTTTGATAAACCCATAAGTGATGCATTACAATCACAAAAAGGCTTATATACATTGGTGAGTAAAGGTGGCAATGAAAGTGATGTTGATGTAAGAATAATTGGATCAATGATCGACTATTTATTTGCACCAGATTCACCCGAAGCTGTTCTGGATGTCCTGTCACATCCAGATACGAAAATTGCCTCTTTGACTATTACAGAAAGTGGATATGATTTAGATATAAACAATGCAGAAATACAACATGATCTGAAAAATCCACAACAGCCCAAAACTGTATTTGGTTTTATTGTTCATGCATTAAATAGGCGAAAAAATGCCGGTATTGAACCATTTACAGTGATGTCGTGTGATAATGTACAAGCCAATGGTGAAGTGACAAAAAAATGTATACTATCCTTTGTAAAAGCATTGAATAATCAAGACCTTTTGACCTATATTCAATCCAAAGTAACTTTTCCGTCTGCTATGGGTGAGTAGTACTTTTGTCTGTTATTTACAGATGATATAGTTTGTATCTATATATGTTTAGTTGATCGTATAACACCAGCTACAACCGATAGTGATCGTGATTACGTTTTGACTAAATGTGGTATTACTGATAAGTGGCCAGTAGTAACGGAACCATTTGTTCAATGGGTTATTGAAGACAATTTTTGTAATGGTCGTCCACCATTAGAACACTTATCGAGTTACAATGTGCTATTGACGGAACATGTTGAAGCATACGAATGTATGAAAATGCGTTTATTAAATGCTAGTCATTCATCCATGTGCTATTTGGGTTATTTAATGGGTTATCGTTATATTCATGAAATTATACTTGATCAAGATGTGAAACAATATATTGAATATTTAATGAATGACGAAGTATCATCAACATTACCACCTGTACCTGGCATCGATTTAGAATTATATAAAAAGACATTGATTACACGTTTTTCAAATCCAAATATAAAAGATACAGCATTGCGTGTATGTATGGATGGTGCATCGAAATTTCCAAAATTTTTAAATCCAACCATTGATCAACAATTGAAATCGAATCAACCAAAGATTCATTTTTCATCATTAGCTATTGGTGCATGGATCAGGTATATTACAGGTGTTGATGAAGAAAATAATCCGATAACACTACAAGACCCATTAGCTGATCAATTAAATTTAAAAGATATTGCAAATAACACAAAACCGAATGTTAAAGAGATCTTAAATATTAATCAAGTATTTGGTGATTTAGGTAAAAATGAGAAATTTGTTAAGTCTGTTCAAGACGTGGTGAACTTATTATATGAAAAAGGATCCAAAGCAACTCTCAAGCAATGGTTAAACATGTACAAGTCACAATAGAATTAATTTTAGTCAAGAAAATATTTCATATTGATAAATAATAAAAGAATATGAATGAAACTCCATTATTATTTTATAAGTTATTAGAGAATATTAGATGTTAACTTATTTTTTTGTTTGAATACATGACTATAACAAAAAAAAGTGAGTCTATCTAATCCATTTACTCGAATCACAAGTACCTTTGTTCTGACAAGGATATTCAGTGTCCAAGCTTATTTCTAGATATCACGTATATTATATAATGAAAACTATCAAACTTTTCTACAGAAGACATAACTTTTTAAACTAGGACGTAATACTACTGAGCAGATTCCTTATTCTCAGACTGCTTGTCATTGAAGTGTAGATCTATTGTTTGGTACCAATGTTTTAAACTTGTTTATAGAAACGTAACGAGAATCGTTGGTGTTATCTAGTGTCGTTACAAAAAAAATAGTATGTCTGAGTTTAGTTATCGACTACATTAATTTTTTAAGTTATTTTAAAATCAATCATTCTCTGTAGTCAGCACGTTAGGATAATATCTGATCAAAATCAAAAATATAAATGATAAATTTACCAACAGTATCGATATCGTCATCTGTATATATAGTTTGACTATCTTCTGTCATTATTCAGATGAACAGTTCATCGCCGACAATCCATTTTAAGTAATAATATCATATTCATTACGAGACCTACGTTTCTGTTTATTTATCATATTGAACAAATACTAATAAAACGTGATCGGTGAGCAACCATTAGTCTTTATAATTTTTACTCCAGGTCATATATTTATTGGCCTGTCCAGCTAACGGTAGCCCATGCATGACCAAAGCTCGGTCTCTCTCAAAATAGAGAAGGACGTAAAGCTCAGAACTAAGAACGCTTCAACCGCGGTTTTCACCGGTTTGAAGCGTTCTTGTTCACCTTAGCTTTAACCAAGCTTTTGGTGAGAAATGTTTCTAGACAAACCTCCTTTTTATTCAAATAAACCGCCGTAGACCGCGGTTTTAGTCAACAATATTGGGAAAAATAACCACCCTGATAAGAGGTTTTTTGCAGCATAAAACGGGTGACAACCGCAAATTTCATTCAAAAATAACCGCCTTCATCTGCGGTTATTTCGAAAACGGGAGTGATTAAATCGCTCCCTTTCGGACAAATAACCGTCGATATTAGCGGATTGCAGTTGTTTCTAACCTCGGTGAACCGCAGTTTTCAAGAAAAATAACCGCCTTTAGCTGCGGTTCGATCGAAAAGGGAGCGATTTTATTCAGTTGAGCACACCCCGATCTCTGCGATTTTTAACAAAAAATAACCGGCGAGAACCGCTGTTATACCCGCAGCGATTCAGAAAAATGAAAAAAGACACCCGCGGTTTTTACACGAGAGAGCGGTTATTGTGTCGCAAACCGCCGGTTTTCCTGCTTGAAAATGAACCGGTGTGACCCGTATTTTGGACCGGTTTTATATATGAATTTTCGTGTACGGGATATATAGCCAAAAGCTCTCTATTGGACACTTTCATCAATACTGACTATATTCAGAAAAAAATCATAACTTTTCAACGGCCACTGGAAAGAACTTTTATTAAACAAGAAGGTGGCCATTTTGTAGCTATTAAAAAACTCTATCCACTGACCATATTTCAAACTTCTCATGATCGCAAGCGGTTGAGGGAGTATACGTTTCTTTTTATCAATTTTACTAAAAATGATCATTCTCAAACTGAATGTTTAAGACATATAAGAAATCCTTTATAACTCAGCTAAAATCCAACATTTTGAGGTTGAATTTATTTTATTTTAAAGCAAAATAGTTCTTATTTTACCCACAAAACCGATAAAGTCTAATAGTCTCATTTGTTTTTCTGTGCTAACTCGAAGAAGTTAAATTTTCCCTTTTTCGATGAATTTTAACTAAATCGCTTTTTGTGGCAGAAAAACATATTTAAAGCAAATACATGATACACGAAAAGAAAGATGACACTTCGAAGCACAAGAACATACATTTCAATTCCACTTTTATGTGCTGAAAATAATTTTTTTTCGTTATATTTTAAGTTGAAAAGTAGTGGGGAGTGAAATTTCACAGTATTTTATCTATATTCTTTTATTTTTAGTGTATGTAAAAAATTGTTCAATATATTTTTTGTAGAGAATAAAACGGCGAACCTTTAAAAAGAGGAAATAACTCTGAAATCTTAAAGAGAAAAAGCTACAGTCAAAGCACTGACAGATTCATTTATTTTGAAGCATCCGATAGATATTTTTCAAGCATTTTCTACTTTTCTTAGAAATTAAAAAATGTTTAAGGCTGATTTTTGTTTCCATATACAACTTCGTAAGTCTACCATCCACCATATAAATTTTAAGCAAGACAGTTTAGTGAGAACGGAGATTTAGACGAAACAACTTTAAAAATGTCACTAGACAAAAAAGATTAACATTTTTCTACAAGTAAAAAGCATCTAGAGAAAATTTTGCTTTACTAAAATGTGTGCCTATTAGTTAGTTCTTTACAGTTTGGTTAAATTAGTTTTCATTCATCTCAAAAGTTTGTTCGAGAAAATTGATTTCTATGTCGATCGATAGAAAATCAAAATGAAACAACAAATAACAAATTATTCAACAAGTAAACAAATAAATTATTCGCTATAGTTTATACTTAAAAGTGGCTCAAAAATTCAAACTATTTCTATAACTTCCGTTCAAGAATCGACTCAAAAAAAGTACAAACTGACAGTAAAAGAAATGAATTTTCATTACATAGGCGGCATCAAAATTTTGACTACAACGGTATAACTTATACAGATATTGTTTCCACGAGTGATGATCAGCACATCCATCAAACAGTGATACGTCTTTCAGTAAATCTCCACAATATGTTGTACCATTTTGCCTACGATATCTAAGGAAATTATTCAACACTGTATAATTTTCTTCGCACAAATCTTCTACTATTATTGTAGTTATTGTCGAATTCTATTTCTGTTGATTATTTTTCTGTTTGAGTTTTTTCTACCTTACCGCAAGTTCACTACAACTTTGATCTTTTAAATAAATATTAGCAGTTTTATCATAGAAATAGTTGTCTTAACTATTTTTAACTAATGCAGTTGTTAAAAATTGTTTGCATAGGTACAGACTTCTTTCAAAATGCCCATACTTGCTCCTGATTTTTCTTCTTCTTTATCTAGACATGTACCGGTTTCGGTTATGTTCGGTTTCGGTTATGATCGATTTCGGTTAATCGGTTGCCTATCTTTATCTCTTCTCTTTTAATTTTTTCTCACTTATTCCATTGCGATCGCTCTTCTGTAGTAATATGATCCAATTCTTCTTCTCTCTCTTCAATCCATCGTTTTCGTTGACAAAACACGAGGAAAAGCATCGCCAACATTCTAAAAGCTGTAGAAAACTGCCATCCATGATCAGCATCATTTGCGACAGAGTAATCCAACTACCTGTGAATTAATTAGACCAAAAAATGCAAATATTGAAACTAGAACTAACAAAACTAGAACTGTATTTGAACATAAAACTAGACCAGTAAAAACAACAATGGGATTAATCGAAACAACTGCGATTATCGATAGAATAGGAGCTGTTAATACATTCACTGACAGATATGCTGAAATATATGACGTGAATACATCATTCGACGTATATGGCAGTGAATGTGTTAACCGAAAAAACACAACGGTAAATAGGCAAGAGTATTAATAAGTAAATAACCTTCCTTTGAACCCATTTTTTGTAGGCGGGATGACCGATGTAAACAGTCATACCAAATATACACCCTAATAGACTCGCCGCTAATGTACCAATACCATCAGCAAATATTGACTCTCTTGTTGGATAAAAATCACCAACACGTTTTGCACATTCAATACACTGTATCGTTCCCACAGCTATGAAACTGGCTGTGAATATCGTTGTCGACAGATAGGGACTAGTTTTAACCATATTTCGAAACATATCTCCAATGGGAAACACTGATGGATTCCATTTAACGATTTTGATAGCTGCTCTTACTTCGGTACCGGTATTTAGTGAATTCATCCAGGCTAAAGCTGTATCGGCGCCTATGGATTCAATTTCTTTCATCAGTTATTGCACAATAGGGTAGAAACATGCTGTGTGAGACTTTGTGCAAGTTAGTATTGTACGAGTGTTTTTACGATGCAAAATTACTTGGATACCACAGTGGGCATTTTTTGCTAGAGCAGGCGGACTTTAGCTTTATGAGTGAACTAAAATTTCATGAACCATTTTTTTATAGGTTTTTCATGATCCTCTTTCTAATGGCATGAGAGTTGGGCTTTGA